TCCCCATGAGGATTAAACCCACAACCTGGGCATGTGCCCTTGACTGGAATTGAACCCAGGACCCTTCAGTCCGCAAGCCAACGCTCTATCCACTGAGCCAAACCAGCTAGGGCTCATTTCATTCTTATGTCAACCCTGAGGGGTGGGCATTCTTATTTGTCAAGGGTCACACGAGGGGAAGGCTTGCTGGCAGAGGGCACAGCAAGTGCAAAGGAGACAGTGGGTATGAAGTTGTTTGAGATGTGAGATTGTTTAAGGTTATTTTATGATTTGAAATCATAAAAATGCGCTCTGTGCAGCGCAATGAGCTACATACATATATCTTTAACATCCTGCATTTATTATACTGCATTGCAATTGCCTATATACTTACCTATTCCCCCAATTTGACTGTAAGTAACTTGAGGACAGAGGCTGTTAACTTAATCGGCACTGCTTCCCCAGTGTTTACACAGCACTTGACATATAGTAGGCATTCAATATAGACAGCTGACTGAACAAAATGGGCTTGAACGGTGCTCATCCACTTATACACTGATTTTTTTCAATAAATACAGTTGGCCTTCCATGCCCATAGGTTTCCACCCACGGATTCAACCAACTGTGGATGGGATACAGCATTTTCACATTCCCAACCACGGTCTCCCAGCTGCAGATCAAACATATTGTTTTGCATGCACAGTTAGTTGAATCCACATATGCAAAGGGCCAACTGTAGAGTGAAAAGTTGCATGTGGATTATCGATTGTATGGGGGTTGGCTCCCCCTAGCACCCAGCTTGTTCAAGGATCCACTGTATATAATGAATAAATTAATGGACTCAACAGTACTTTTATGAAGCAGTGCTGAATGAAAAAAAACACACAATTGTCTCCGGATTTTCTTTATTTCATAAGCCTGTACTTTTCTAGGCTGAAAATTCTCAAACCATTCATTATCAGCTAACTACAACTAAGAATTAAACACATTTTAACCACAACTTCTCTGGTTATTGATACGTAACAACTAGGTATAAACACTTTCCCATTCAACTAGTGGAATCGTAAGTCACTCCACATAAAGCAAGAGTACCTAGTGAGATAACGGCAATGTGGTCTAACAAATGCAGAATGCATGTTATTTGTCTGAAACGACCAAGGTGTGCATTTGTTTACCTTGCGGGAAAAGTTTGTAGCTGGTTGTTTGCAAGATGCAAGATTCGCAGGTGTGGGTGCCCGACCAGGACAGGCACACACTGATCCGTCAGGAGGTTGTTGGTCAGATAGAGCAGCTGCAGGGCACTCAGGCTCTCCTCCCCTGCAGAAGCAGATGGCAAGGACTCCAGACTATTTGCGGATGCATTCAAGTACCTGAGGCTGACAGAGCACACACAAATCATTTCCTGCACGGTTATTTATTGCCTTCGGTAGAAAACATCATGCCATCACAGTAGGGAACACTGCCATTACATGCTCCAAAACTCATGACAAATGAAACTTCCTCAGGTAGTTTTCTCTAATTGATTCTAACAACCAAAGTTCCTTTTACTCAACTCATGCAAGCCAAACAGACAGGAAATCATTCAGGCTTGGTAGTAGTCCTGGGCTTCTGTAGTGGCCTGAAGTCTACCTTAGCTTCATTTTTACTGTGTTTATGTCCCCCCGAAAGAGTGCTGTTGAGTATCATGTTCACAAATATTCAAACTGTGAAGACACCCTTCAGAAAAATTTTTTGTCAGATTTCAACGCCATATTTATTTAGCCAAGCCCCTTGTAATCCCTTAATAATGGGCACAGCACTGTTTCCAACTGTTTGCTATTACAGACATTATAATGAGCACCTTTGTATCCTTATCCAATTATTTATTTATACTACATTCCCAGAAGCAAATTGGTTGGGGTCAAAAGATAGATATATCTTTAAAATTTTCATATATATTGCCAAACTGAGCTCCAGAAAGGGCAATACCAATTATATTTACAATATGTATTATATATACAAACACTGTTTTTTTTTCTTTTTATATACAAACATTTTTTAGAATTTCCAAAGATTTTATTTTTTGGAAAAGTCCAACCAAGTGTATTGAGATGTATAAGCTGCCACATAAAGAACAAGCCAGACACTTGTAGGCTAAATGCTTTTTGTATGTTTCCTGTAGCCAGCAATTTTCAACCTTTGCATCTCATGGCACATATAAAATACTGAAATTCTGTGCACACCAAAAAAGATATTATATTTCTTGGTGATCTGACATAAAAAGGGCTTGTGTTGGCTGTTGTCATTATTTTATGTGACAATCTAAGAGAAAAGACATTAGTGCCCCTGACTAAACAGTCAGGTATCATATTTTAAGAATTCTTGCAGCACACAATTTGAATTCTTGCAGTCACTGTTATAGCCTATGTTAAATTATTAGTGCTTATCTCTATTTTCTCCATTTTTAAACTGAAGATAATATTGTCTTCTCCATATTGCAGAAGGCTATAATTAAAAACGAATCCTCGTTGAATGGTGGGTGACAGACACATTAGATATACCTGATTATGGATGTTAAAGTAAAAAAACATTATTTATTGCTAATTTACAATGAGAAAGCAAGTAACACCTTCTGAAACAGTGTTACCTTTAAATGCACAGTTTTCAAAGTAGGTAGTAAAAGAGTGATGCAAATAAAGAATAAAACTCAATGATAGCTTGGTAGCGCTAGAAGCAAAATTAACTTTAATGGTATGTCCTTTTCTCCTAATGAAAAAGCTAAAAATTGCCAAGAAAGAGGCATGAAAGCACTGCAATTTCTCTTTAAAGGTCATAATTGTATTCATTTTCTGAGATGAAAGCCACCTGTTTGAAACTGTTTACACCACCAAAACTTCTTACGTATTTGATGGTTATTTAAGCCCTAGAGTCAAAGATTACCACCTCATAAAACAGTGTCATATTTTATTTCATAGAAAGTACAAATGACTCCACCCATAGCTGGACTATGAGGTAAACTATAAATCTAGTTCCAAAGGTCACCCCAATGACAAGCAGTGCAGTACTTACTTTAAGGCCTTGGAGAAGAGGGTGTCCGGCAGCCTGGTGAAGCAGGTATGCTGGATGTCCAACACCTCCAGAGGGATGTGCTCCATGAGCACGGGGAGGTTCTGCACGTGATTGTGTCCCACCATCAGTTTCCTAAGACTCAAGCTGCTAAGAATTCTGGAAGTGGGCGGGGAGGGGAGACAGTACAAAGAAACAAAAAACTTACTTAAGTCTTTCTTTCTGAGTCTGCCCTTGGCTGTTTAATTAAATGAGTAAAATGAATAGAAACATACTCTTCTAGACAATATAATCCCTGACAAATGCCTGAGCCAAGAAAGCAGCCATGGCCATATGTTTACCCACCTCCACCAGGAAGTCCTTACGGTCATCCTGGAAAAGGTGAGTTAATGAAAGCAACCCGCACAGAACAGACCTAAACAAAAAACTTCTAGAATAAATCGATTTATTCTAGAATTGAGTGAATCTATTAATATAGGTAACTATAATAAATAACAAAATTCATTATAACAAAGCCACTATTCTGTGCTTAAAATGTGCGAGGCCAGTGATGGCGAACCTATGACACGCGTGTCAGAGGTGACACACGAACTCATTTTTTTGGTTGATTTTTCTTTGTTAAATGGCATTTAAATATATAAAATAAATACAAAAATATAAGTCTTTGTTTTACTATGGTTGCAAATATCAAAAAATTTCTATATGTGACACGGCACCAGAGTTAAGTTAGGGTTTTTCAAAATGCTGACATGCCGAGCTCAAAAGGTTCGCCATCACTGTGCTAGGCCCCTTAACTATGAGGTTCAGAAGAAATAGTGACTATTTGCCAAAGATCTCACACTGAATTTAGTCAATGGCATAGTCAGGATTTGAACTAAGGCCTGATTCCAAAGGTTGTGTTCATACCTACTATGCTACAAAAGCCTCTAGTTTAATTTAAAACACTCCACTAGATGATAACATTTTATACCTTCTATAAATGGTATATTCAATGCTTGTAAATATACCACTTACCCCTCTCCCAAGCACCTCTCTCTTCCTCCCCTCCCCACATGCAGAAGTCCCACCATCCTGTATCTTATAATTATTCAAAGTTCTGAATTTCTACAACATTTTATTTATACAGTCCAGTACTGAAAAGTGAAGGCAAGAATGACAACATTCAGCACTTGCCAGCATGGCTCAGTGCTTGGAGAGTCAGCCTGCACACTGAAGGGTCTCGTGCTTGGTTCCTGGTGTGACCGAGGGCACATACCTGGGCTGCAGGTTCGGGGCATGTGTGGGAGGCAACCAATCAAGTGTCTCTTTCACATTGGTATTTCTCTCTCCCTGCCCCTCCACTCTCTCTAAAAATCAATGGAAAAAATATCCTCACTCCTCGGATAAGGATTAAAAAAAAAAGAAATGACAACATTGCAATGTCAGCACTCACTACTTCCTAGTTAAGTGTGACCTTGGGCAAGTTACTGAACCACTCCAAGCCTTAGTTTCCTCATCTGTAAGATGAGGATAACAGCACCTATATAATAACGCTGTCAAAGGACTATATAAAAGTAAAGTTCTCAGAACTTTGCCCAGCTCACAATAACTCATCCAATAAAAAGTATCTAAGTATATCGCCAACCTAAGCCTGCAACCTGTTACATTTTATCAGTTGTCTGTGCACAAGTCCCCTCAACTACCTGCTCATTACTAAGTTGCTTACAGGCCAGCCTATGCATTAGCTGTTACTATATCACTCACAGCACTTCACACTGCCCTGCACTCAGCAGGTACTGAATATTTATTGAACAAATAAATGAAAGTACCTATACAAAGTAACCCAATCTAGGAGAATAATTAAATACATGCATATACACACAGATATCATTATATACATACATAATATATATTAACACACACATACCTCATAGGAACCTCTGTCAGAAGATTATAGCTCACATCTAATACTTCTATCTTCTTTGCTTCACAGGCCCAGTCAGGGACACATTCCAGCTGGTTTCTATAAAAAATAAATCAACACAAGCCATCATTTATGATGATGAGTGGAACTCATTTCATTAGTCTGTAATATACCTGTTAATTGGCCCATGAGCCCCTTGAGGGCAGGAGCACTATAACTAAGCGTTCTTGGTCCACTACCAGAATGCACGAGGTGCTCAAGGAATGTCGCTGATAGAGAAGTGGACAGAGATAAGCACCCAAACATGTATACTCCTGGATCATATACTGCATGCCCAAAGAAGATACAAAGGCTCTCAACAGCAGGAAAGCATACATACGATGGGATGACTGAAGGAGAGATGTGGAAAGACTTAATGGAAGAAGTGGCATTTTAAACAAACCTTTGAAGATGCCAACAGGTAATAACTGGGGAAGAAGAATAGCAAATTCTGGGGAAAATGAACAAAATGAATAAAAGTGAGGAAGTTGGGGCACAAGATAACTAGTGGGGGGCTTCAAACATTTAAAATGTGAATGCAAATATTTAGTAGAGCACTGAGCAGACACCTTGTAAAAATATTTTTCTTTTCAGATATTACTTAGTCTCTCTTGGCCTCAATGTACCTACTGATCAGTCGATTGAGACGACAAGGCAGAATGAAGTGAGGGCTGTAAGAGAAATGCAGATACGGCTACGCTGGCTGAGTGAAAGAAGCACTTTGTCCGGAATGGATCAAGGCAAGCTCCCCAAGAAACAGGGCATGTGAGTTAGAATTTGAAGAATGTGGGACAATGACCTGAAGAGAGGAGGACATTCTAAGAAAGAGGGGACAACATGAGTGAGAACACAAAGGCAAAGAAAGACATGGCATGGAACATGTGGGAATTATAACAAGCAGTTTGGGGAAACGGAGCAGAGAGTGGTAAGAAACAGGCTGGAGAAAACGAAATCATGTCCAGAAGACTGTGCCTTTACCCTGGAGGTATAGGGGGATCACTGAAGAATTAGTAAGTAAGTACAATGTCAGTTTTGTAATTTAAAAAGTTCACTCTGTGGCTACACTGAGGTCTGGTTGAGATGATTAATTAGTAAAAGGAAGACTAATCAGGAAGCTGTTACAGAATTTCAGACAAGAGATGATATAGGCCTAAGTGAGTGGTGATACATGTGGAAGGGAGGGAGGGACTTCAGAAGTATTTAGATTTCTTGTGCCTCAAAACTACCAAATTATCCACATATGCCTTTTAAATATTAGCAATCAAACAAGCACCACCTTTATGAAGCACACTCACCTGGAAAGTTCTAAAGATGTGAGAAGACTGGGTACTGGATAGACATTCACTGCTGTCAGCCCTAATTGAAAAACAAAAGGGCGTCAGTAACGTTGTCTAAAGAAGAAAGTAACTGAAAATAAATAAGGAAAAAGTGACAGCGTCAGAAAGAAAACAGGCCACCTACTGACATGAACTAAAGACAAAAGCCACTGGGTAACGCACATGAATTGCGTGGTCCCAATTTGAAGACCAAATACAACAAATGAAGGATCGTGTGTACTGCACTGGACTCACGCCAGACCAGGCAGCTGTTAACAGTAACTACTTAATTTTTTTAAAAATTGATAACACGATTTTCACTGGCAATATTTTAACTTTCAACTACAGTACAACATAGATACAGAAAAGGGCAACAATCTTATGTGCACAGATCGCTACATTTTTACACACAGCACACACCAGTGTAGCCAGTGCCCACTTAGGAAGCGGATCATTACCAGCTCCCAGGAGCTTCCTCTCATCCGCCTTCCAGTCTCTGCCCCTCGCCGCCCTCGCTCCCTATACCACAGGCTACTTTTGCTTATTTACATAAATTACACATACAGTCTGTAAAGTTTCTGATCTGGCTTCATTCACTCCTTATTGCACTTGTGGGATCTGTTCACATTACTGCATGTGGGTGTAGTTCATTCTTTCTCCCAGCAGTACGAAACTGTTTATATGACTGTACCACTATTTGTTTATTCATTTTAGGGTTACAGCACTGAAGTCTTTTCGAGTTGGGGTGACTACGAATAGTGCTTCTATGAATATTTTTTCCATGTCTTTTGTGGACTAATATAAGCATTTATTTCGAGTACTAGAGGCCCGGTGCACAAAAATTTGTGCACTTGGAGGGGGGTCCCTCAGTCCAGCCTGTGCCCTCTCGCAGTCTGGGACCCCTCGAGGGATGACCACCTGCTGGCTTAGGCCCGCTTCCTGGGGGATCGGGCCCAAGCTGGCAGTCAGACATCCCTCTGGCAGCCCGGGAGCCCTCGGGGGATGTCTATTTACCAACAAGAAGCAGACCTAAACTGCAGTCGGACATCCTTAGTGCTCCTGAGGAGGTGGGAGAGGCTCCCGCCACCTCCGCTGTGCTGGCAGCCATCAGCCTGGCTTGTGGCTGAGCAGAGCGCACTGACCACCAGGGGGACAACTCCTGCATTGAGCATCTGCCCCCTGGTGGTCAGTGTGTGTCATATTGACCAGTCATTCCCAGTCGTTCTGCTGTTAGGGTCAATTTGCATATTATCCTTTTATTATACTGGATAGAGGCCTGGTGCATGGGTGGGGGCCGGCTGGTTTGCCCTGAAGGGTGTCCCGGATCAGGGTGGGAGTCCCACTGGGGTGCCTGGCCAGTCTGGGTGAGGGGCTGAGGGTCCTTTTCAGGCTGGCCAAGCCCCCCAGCGATGGAAGCTCCCAGCCTTTCCTTTTTTTCTTTTAGTCTGGGATTTATTTACCTTCTATAATTGAAACTTTGTAGCCTTGAGTGAAGCTCACAGCAAGCCAGGGAGGGCAGGAAGCTTGGCTTCCTCCATCACTGGGGCAACCAAGCCTCGTGCTTGCTCCAGCTCCGTGGCTGCCGGCTGCCATCTTGGTTGGGTTAATTTGCATATAGTTGCTCTGATTGGGTGGTGGGTGTGGCTTAAGGCATAGTGAAGGTACAGTAATTTGCATGTTTATCTTTTATTAGTGTAGATAAGCTTAGGAGAGAACTGTTGACTATAAGGGGTGTATATACTGAACAGTTTTCCAGGGTGGTTGTACCAGTTTACACTCTCAACAACTGACACTGGTATTTTCAGTCTCTCATTCTAGTCTCTCTGGTATGTGTGCAGTGGTGTCACTCTGGTATGTGTGCAGGGGTCAGTTTGCATATCCCCAATGACCTGTGAAGTTGACTGACTTTTCCTATAGTAGCTGATCATTGGATAACTTCTTTTGCGAAGCTGAGTCCTTTACTCTTGAGGCGTCAAAACTGCAAGTGTTGATGTGAATTCTTCCAGCTTGCTGAATTTAAGGATTCTGTAAACTGAATAGCTAAGTTCAATAAAGCCCCATTTAGTACAGTACTGTGACAGAACCTTGGTTACTAAGAAGGACTGCATCTATGTCAATAAGGTCTTTTCCAAAGGAGCCAGTTATTCAGATCTTTAGATACATTAAGAATAGAAAATGGTCCTGATAATATTTCCATGGCAAAAGACCTACTATCCTCTCACGATATCTATAAACAGCACAACACTCATCAGCAGTGACACTATTCTGACCTAATCACAGCTATAATTTAAAGTTTCTGTAACATGGTTAAAGGCATCAAAGGAATTCCTTAACTATCTTTTATCCTAATAACGCATTTTAGAGATACAGAAAAGACAACAAAATAATGAACACTCTCTTCTACATATCATGTAGCTTTTAACAAATTTTGACATTCTGCCTAATATGCTCCACTTTTTAAATTAAGAATTGAAACACTGGACATACCAGGTAAACATCATCCTGAATATGATTTTTATCATTCCCATGGATTCTTTCATAGTGTTATGGCATACTTACAGCTAAGAAAACATTTTTATGTGTTTTAATATTTGATAACTATCCTAGTACATATAATTATGCACTTCCTTTTTTTACTCAAAAGTGCTTCTGAGATTTATCCACATTAACACACAAAGTTTTAGTATCTTGATTTCCATTGCCGTGCAATATTCTATCATACAAATATGTCATGGCTTAGTTTCCCTATTAATAGTCATATTTTTAATTTTTTTCACTATAACAAACACAATGCTATGAAAAGCATTCTTGTACACATCTCCTTCTACAGATGAGTGTCTCTGGGAGATATTCCAAGCAGGGCCCTGTATGTCTTCACCTTCTCCAACACCGCACACTGCTTTCCAAGGGGGTTTTATCAACCACACTCAGACTAGCAGTGTATAAGGCGCTGCCTCTCCCTATCTTCAATAGCACTTAGCATTATTTTTTTTTTATTTGATGAGTATAAAATGGTATTATTTAAATTTTAATCCCTCTGACACTTAGTGAAACTGAACATTTTTTCCTTTCCTTCTTGAAACACAGAAAAAGTAATTATGACCTCTTTGGTAAAGATGAACTCTCCATTAAAAAATGACCTTGCCAAAACCGGTTTGGCTCAGTGGATAGAGCGTCAGCCTGCAGACTGAAAGGTCTCAGGTTCGATTCCGGTCAAGGGCATGTACCTTGGTTGCGGGCACATCCCTTGTAGGGAGTGTGCAGGAGGCAGCTGATCGATGTTTCTCTCTCATCGATGTTTCTAACTCTCTATCTCTCTCCCTTCCTCACTGTAAAAAATCAATAAAATATATTTTTAAAAAAATGACCTCAACAAATAACAGGCCTTTTACATTGGAAAATATTCCTGGAGCAAATCACTATCAAAACGAGGGGTTTCTCTTTCTAGAACTGAGGCAGCACAAGGTTTTAGATTAGAAGTTGGCAAAGGGTTAAATATTTAGTAAATATTTGGCACTTAGTGAAGCTCAAAGCATCTTGTAATGTCTTTTGTATGCATATTTCAACCACTTCAGTTTTGAAAGCAAACTGAAAAGACAAAGCTAGGTCTCAATAAACCTCAAATTCTATTTTACAGAGAGCGTGAGGACCACCACAGGTGCCATTGTTCTTAGAAAGCTCTGATGAGAGCTGTAAGAGAAGAAAAAGGAAGCTGGGCAGAGAACTCACTGTTGGAATTGGCAAAGAGAGTCCGCAGGGAGAAGCCACTGAGTGTCAGCTCCCTCAGCTGGTTCCGCTCACAATGCAGCTGCTCCAAGCTACAGAAGGAGCTAAGATCTAAGTCAGTCAGTTGGTTGTCCCGCAAATCCATGTGGGTGACGTATTTATTTCCCTCCAGATTTTCAATTACCACAGTTTTCAAATGGTTCATCCTTAATATTCAAAAATAAGGAAATCATTAGAAATAAAATCTACCAAATGTGCTTATCAAAAGAAAAATAGGAGAGGTATGATGCCTTTCTCTCTTTCTAAACAACTTAAGAATTTCACTACTTGCCTCATTTTGCAAGGTACTAAGTTAAGCTTCTGTAACATGATTAAAGGCAGTCAAAAGAGAAGTCCTTCTGATTCTAGAACTGAGGCAGCACAAGGTTTTAGATTAGAAACTGGCAAAGGGCTAAATATTTAGTAAATATCTGAAGTTCAAAGTATCTTGCAGATAGCTGTACCTTAAGTTCTTTATTTTAAATCAGATAATCCAGACTGGCAAATACATAACAAGTTAAATAAGGAGAAAGGAAAAAAGAACCATGATCCCACAAAGTTAGTTAACTTCCACCCAGATATCTAATAAAGTGAGGTAGGGACGAAGGGATAGGACCAAGGACCAAGGACTAGAAGACGGACATAACTTCTGGGTTAGTGAGCAGCAAAGCAGGCAAGGAGGCCACGGAAAAAGCCAGAGGAAGCAGCCCACACTGCCTCCCTCCCCTTGTTCTGCCTGTTCTCTCTAGTGCTATGATTCACATTACATTAATTAATGGAGAGGAAAATAATTGGTATCTACATGGAATAGTTCAAGGGAAAATTATAGAAAATGGCTTCTTGGTTCTCTTATATACAAGTATATTACTTAAGGCACGCAGGCCTGTTTTCATTTTCTTGTAGTCCAATACATTTTTCTATTACTATATCTTTAGAAGGATAGCAAAGGCTTAGTGTAAATGACAGAACATCTCGTGTGTGTCTTTTACAGCTTCCCTTAGGAAAATATAACTAAAAAGTAGAATTCTTAAAAAATAATTAGTAGTAAAACCTTTTAACATTTTAATTATAGTAAATGGATATCAAGAAGAAACCCAATGATTCAACAGAAAAATGGTCAAGTTTATAGAAAAATACAAACTGCCAATCAATAAGCACTAAGAAGATGCTCAACCTCAATCATAAAAACTGATTAACACAAAGAAATACTATTCCTATCTACTGCACTGACAATAAGGAGAAAGACTGCTAAAATCCAACATTGACAAGGATGGGAGGAAATAGGAATTCTCATAAAATGTTGCTGGGAGGTGAGTTAAATAACCTTTGTCAAAGGCAATTTGTCAACGTCTTATCATGTGGAACACCTATATACCTCATTAATAATCTCTACTGAAGCTTCGTTACATCTTTGAAACCATAGCTTTAAAAGCCTAATGTTTTTTTTAAAAAAGCCTTTATAAAGAGAAAACCTAAAGATCCACGAGAGGTCCATCTAAAGGAGATATGGTAACAAGTGACCTTACCTCAAGTCTACGTGCTTGATATGGCTCATCCTGCTCAGCACCCCTAGGTTTAGGACTTCCAGTCGATTTCCTGCCATAACCACTTTGTCTAATATGGTGAGTCTCTCATACACCTCGGGAATGTGACTGAAGTTGTTGAAGGAAATTCCAAGGGAGGAAAGCTGTTGCAGATTTCCCAATTCTTCAGGTAAAGTAGTCAGAAAGTTGCCATCAAGACAGAGAGTTTGAAGACTATAGGAAGAAAACAAAACAAGTCTACTTTATGAAAGGTTTTAACTGGAATGGACAGAACTAGAATTATGGATTCTAATTTATGTCACTAATTTTTATGAATCCAATAAATGATAAAATGTCCTAAGTATCTATAGAAACTTATTAATAAGATGGCTTAAACATAGC